CAGCTATTATCATAATTCCTGAAACACCTGATAAAAATTAGCCGAATGATTGTTTGGCCGATTCGGTTAAGTTAGTGGTTTCGGCATGATCCATTATATAATAAAAATAATAAAAGCTATTATGACCAATTATAATAATAATGTCAATGTTATTAAAATTTTGTTCCAATGCTTGTCCAACATGCTTGGTACTTAGCAAGTAATTTAAAAAAGGGACCGGATATAAATTAGTCTTTATAACAAATATATTACACGAACAGGTGCCGCTATTAAAAAAGTTAATATGATCATGAATTTATCGATTGGTTTAAAAATGATTTCAGGTTAGGATTCCAAGCGACCAAGACATTATTAATATTTGTCGAGAATGCATGAAGAATTATCAAAGTAAAAAATTTATGTTTATATTTATTTATAAATTGAAAATTTTAGTACTAGCGATTAAAATTAGTTAAAAAATGAGAATGAAAGTATCGAAGTGGATTTAAGAAGTAAAGATTGTCCATCTGAAGCAGATAGTTTAGAAGACTTGCTGACGCCTAAGTGTTTAGCAATTTGTCGAACTAATAAGACTTCTAAAATTTTTTTTCGACGATTTGCCAGCGAAGGTGCTTTGTAAATATCATTGCTAGAGATTTCCCAAATTCTTTAAAAATAAATTTTTTGGCTTCTACAAGAAACGAAAAATAATTAGAAATAAATGCCTTCGTTTGAACGAAAATGGATCTTTCCAGAGAATAGGAATCGAAATTTAATTCAGTTTTTTAAAAACGAATTTTCATTGAAAATAATTAAAATGAATAAAGGCTTCGTTTAAACGAAAATAGATCTTGCCAAAGGAATTGTAATTTTGCACAATTTTTTAAAAATGAATTTTCGTTGAAAATAATTAGAAATGAATAAAGGTTTCGTTTGAACGAAAATGGATCTTGCCAAAGAATGGGAATTGAAATTTTACACAATTTTTTAAAAACTAATTTTTCGTCTTCGACAAGAAATGAAAAATAATTAGAAATAAATAAAGGCTTCGTTCGTTTGAACGAAAATGGATCTTGCTAAAGAATAGGAATTGAAATTTTACACAATTTTTTTAAAACCAAATTTTCGTCGAAAATAATTAGAAATGAATAAAGGCTTCATTTGAGCGAAAATGGATCGTGCCAAAGAGTAGGAATTGAAATTTACAACTTACAAGTGCATGTCGATATTTAGTCTTATTGTAATATATATTAGTCATCTGATCTTATTAAATTACGTATCTGATATATCTGTTACTGAATCTTATTATTCCCGAAATCTATAACTTAACCGAAATCGGCCGAAAAATCATTCGGCTAATTTTTATCAGGTGTTTCAGGAATTATGATAATAGCTGTAACATATATGAAGCCTAATTTCTACCACATTTGCAAATTATTGGTAATTTTATCGCCAAGTGGCCGAAAATGGCCGAAATATTTCGGCCACAGGTATAATTCCTGATATTAACGTTAATGATTAATATGTGATATAAATGTAAATCAATGAATTATAAGCTTATGTAAATTGTATGTAACGATAATTAATTTAACACCACAATTGATAAATTTAATATCGCATTAACTTTTTTTATACGTACGTAATATACTTTTTTGATATTTATAAAAAACCCGATGAACATTCGAACATTCGGCAGAGATTTTCAAAATTCTAGAGTAACCCAAAAAATGTAACAAGACTCGAAACTCTTCGATTTCATATTTCAATTTCTATCCATAGAATTTGGAAAAAAGTTTTTTTCTTGAAGCTATATCATTATCACATGTGAGAACTATCATCACGAATTAGCGTTCAGAACATTATGCAAGATATTTTTATTGATGCATATAATCGCTTGATAAATTTATACATTCCCGTGATCTTTATAAAAAGGGTTGTAATTCTCTATTTGATTTTCTTTAACTTTTGAAATAGAAAGACAATATGACATTCACATATACCTCGCGACAAGATTTGACGGGTAAAGTGGCAAGTTATATAAATTTAACTATCATTAAATACATATATTAATTTTTAATAAGAATCGACAGAAAGAAGGATTAGATATGCAACTATAGTTATTATCATTTTGTTAGTAGCTGCTTTTGGATGTGCGTATTTTATTTTTTTTATACATCACACGTGACCTTAAAATTGAATTTTTTTTTTATTACCTTTACACACTAATTTTAATGTATTATATTCCTTAAAGCTTGGAATATTTATCGTATCGTAGAGGCTATAAACACTCCAGTAGTATCCTTAAAGTCCGTTTTGCGACCTAGCATACTAGTAAATTATCTTCAATAATTTATCATCTTTGTTAAAGAGAAACATACAAGATTATGTGAATATAATAATATACTCGTTTAATTAGGTACCAGGCTTGATAATTTGCGGAAACACGTTAAATAGGCTTGAATGTTTTAAAAGTCCATACAATTACGCAGATGACGACCATGCCATTGTATTTACAATATTTATACCCACTTTTATGTTATTATTTTGCTTCATAAAGTTAATCCATTCAAATTCTCAAAGGGTTCAAGCTGTAATGAATATTTATCGAACGAAGCGATTAACGCAACGTTTTTCGTTAATATGCGCGGATTTGACCTTGATAACCAGATTTGTTGTTCGTTATCTTTAACTCTTTTTTGATAATCAATAACCATTTGCTAAGATCTTATTTTATATGTGTGTGTGTTTTTTTTCTTGTAGATATTTTAAACCCCTCACAGCCGTTTAATAAATCTTTTGGTGCGAATCATCTCGAATTTGATAATTCTACCCAAAAAATTGCCATTGCATTATGGTCAGATGAAAAAACAAATAATACTGTAAGAATAAAATTTTATGTTATTGAATATTTGCTCGAATAACACGATAACTTTAGAATCTATAAATTTTTATTATTTAGAAATTAAATATTACGCAAGATCGTTGGTTCACGTACGGGACATTTACTGAACTTGAGGATCCTAAATATGCTAAATTCCAAATTGTTAAAATGGTAATTATATAGCTTTTAATAGTTGGAGAAATAAAATTAATGAATTTATATGATATAATTATGAAAAATATGATAATTAATTATGTGTAATTGGTTTACAGCCATCTTTATCATACTTGTATGTTATGAGAATAGAAAAGTATAATGTTGTCAAAACAGATGCTATAACCGGAGGTGGTACAACTGAAAAACCTGGAGCGACGGTCAAGTATGATGAAAAGTTTACAAGTTTTGATATTGCTGGATTTGCCATCAGCGATCATCTCTGGGAACTTTTCAGAATTATCCCAGCAAATTATTCTAACAATACGCGAATAAATTCACAAGAGTACCCAGTACATCTTTGGTATTTTCGAGTAGAATTTACATTTCTTCAACTCGCCGCCAATATGGGAAGTTGCCTAAGCGTTCTTAGTGCTCTTTATCTCGCTCTCTTCGGATCACGAAAAGTTAATCCTTGGGGTATTGTTCAACGTTATGTAAGTGTCATTTTTTGATCAAAAAATTTTTTTTTCTTTTATTGACAAATAATAGCCATTTAATTTTAATCTTTTTTAATCTTGTAGATACTCAAAACTGTTCCATCTATTCCAGAATCTTACTCCCCAATTGCCGTGCCATATTCAATATATTCGGATGCTAAAACTAATAATAATGATATAGAACTTAATCAAATTTATTCAAGTGGAAGTTTAATTGGAACTTGCTCAAAATCTTCTCTTTCAAGTATTGAACAAATTGAAAACATAGATGAATTAGGAATTAAAATGATAAAAAACGAGTTGCATGCGGAACTGCAAAAAATTATTAAAAATGAGCTAGAAAAATTTAGAAAAATTTTGAGTAAATATTATCTTAAAGAAGTTGTGTAAAAGTTGGTTGATAAATATCGAATAAGATACAACAAAATTCGAAGCAAATATAGTATACTATCCTTTTAAACTTTGAATTAATAGGTTTATTATTTACCTTGTTATACTTTGTTTTAGTAATATTTTTTTAATATTTATATGTATTTTCTTGAGATAATATGGGCTAGGTGCTGGAAAAAGAAACGAAACTGACAAAACAAAAGACCTTCAGAAAATCAATTTTTGTGTTATAAATCTTATAACAAAATTATAAGAAAATACAAACTTTAAAGAGTTATACTGCAAAATTTTATTAATACAACTACTTTTTGTGTCTTAAGTGAAAAAAGATTCTAAACTTATTCTAAATTAATTTATATAAAAAAATTTGGTTTGAAAAAATTGTCATTTTCGTTCCTCCAGCACCTAGCCCATATATATCTGTATTATTTTGAAATACGGACCTATATAGTGTATATAATTTTGCATTCTTATATTTTTGCAATATGTTTTGTAGTACGTAATATTTCTATTCTTGCTTATGTTTTTTTATAGAAGCACTATTTACTTTGAATTTAACTTACAAATAATTTTTGCTTATTATTCTCTAAATAAATGCATGTTAGATGTTTGATCTCAATGTTACCATATTATGTTTTCTCTCACATTGGCCTGATTAGGGTAATATTGGACAAACTTGTATTAATCGGAATTAGTCGTTGGCGGAAAGTCCCTCGACCAAATTTTAGAAAATTTAACTTCGACTAATAAAGTTTAATGCTGTAACTATGTTAACATACATTTAAACTATTTCATTGTATCAAACCTAGACAGTGAAACTGCCTGTTCTAGTTAAAACATTAAGCCCAAATATTAAAGATTATAAATATGAACTAGTCTTTACATGAACTGTATGAATCAAAATTTTATTAAACTAGTAGCATGCAATAATAAATAGAATTCTACCAATTTAATAATCTACTGTTTTTACTTGTTTAATAATCTAAATACCAATATTAAAATAAGCAATAAATTTGTTTAATTATAAACAAATTAAATATTACTTACCGTCGGAATTTCGCATTGACTTTCTAAAACGCACTTATAAATCAAATTTAATAAATTAAAATATTATTGTTTTTTATTTATTTATTTATTTATTTGTATAAGTTTTTTTATTAATCAATAAATGGATACCGATTTTAAAATGACTTATGTTTCATTTCTTAATTTATGAATTACATATGTCAATTAATAATCGGCTAAATTGTTTTATACGTAATCATTATGTAATTAGTCTTGCTAAGGATGGAATGGACCAGACCAAATGAATTCCTACATTACGCCCAATACACTCTTTTATAGTTGATAATCTTTAATCATTTTCTCACGACAGCGTAAACTTTCTCATAGAAGCTTTTACTTTAAAGTAATATTGACATTTGTTTTTCTACTAACAATTACTGTTCAATCAATTACTGTTCAATCAATAAAAATTTAATGTAATAACATACTAGCATCGTCAGAATCATTTCTAAGGTAAATTGGCGAACTTTCGGACCTTTTTGGATCAACTTTGTGAGTTTGAAAGTTGATTTTGCAAAATTTTATGTAGCTCTAATGGCTCAAATATATATATATTAAATTAAAAACTGTACCGTAAAACAATTTTCTCCTCGAAGCTAGCATATTCTTATTGTCATCTAAATTGAAGCAAACTGCTTTTACTATGACAACTCTATGGGATGAACACAATTTAAAAATTAGTGGTAAATTTATCGTATTTAATCTTCGAATCACAGATAGTATAGAAAACTGGTTTTTAAAATTTTTACAGTAATAGCAGCAAAAATGAAAAAAAAACCGGACATTGAATCCGACTTATGTTCAAATTCAGGAGGTCGAGGTTTATCTCTTATTTTATTTATTTTATTTATTTACCTAAGATTTTAATAATGACAATAATTCTTTGTTTTATTATAAACAGCAAGTTCTATTACGACCATTTGCGACACCTTGAGGTGAATAAATGAGTATATAATCTATAATTTTCTTTTTCTATATATTTTCTAAAAAGAGCTATACTTAACTATATTTATAGTGATTCAACTGTCAAATTGTGTGAAAAGTATAAAAGATGCTTGATAGTTTTTGTAGATGCTGGTGAAATTAATTTCACCAATCTCACCAATTCACCACCAATTTCACCAATAGTGGTGAAAACTATTTCACCACATTTCACCGTATTTCACCAGCATCTATAATACTTCTTCGTTATTATTATTTATTTATTTTTTACAAATGGTTTTTATTATCTTATATAAGTATGGACACATTAGATACATTAAAGAAATATCGAGACCTGTGGTGGAACCAGGGCAACCTCCACCCCATAGCAGAATGGGAAAAAGTGAAGTAAGTGATGCATGTCTTTATCTACTGAAGATAAATAAGCAAATCTTTCGCTAATTGTATCAAGACTCCCATATGTACTTGTGGAAAATGTGATTGTTGATAAATATGAAGAGCACAGAGACCGATTTAACGTTCATGCATGTTGGGAGTGGGTTGCAAAACTTGAAAAAAAAATGAAATAATTTTTGGTGAAGTAATAGTTTATGAGCTTCCACTACAAGCTCATGAGGTTTGTATTAATGAAATTTCTCATTTAATGATGGAACAATGCCTTCCAGTTAAACGGACGGATGCTACAGTTTATAGTTTGGAAGCAACTCATAAGCATAATTAATTAACATCCTTAACATGCTTTTTTTTTTTTTTTTTTAAACTAATTTTGGTTGCTTAAAGGGACCCGTGTCAAGGGTTTTGGCAAAGAACATAATAGTTCATTTCGTCCCAAAAAACCTAATAGTTCATTTCGTCCAAAAAAATCTGCAGTAGATTCATCAAATGGGAGTGATGGATTGGTACTTTTTTACTCTTATATTGCTTTGAAATTCTTTAAGTTGATTTCATACCTTGCTTTTAAATTTGTAGGATGCACCTTGGCCAAATATCATAATAGAGGTTGCATCATCTGAACCTATTAAACATGTCAAGGATAAAGTAAGGAATTACTGGTTAAATGGTAATCGCATTCATGATGTGATTATTGTTAAACTTTATTATGATGGTGAAAACCCAGCTCCAAGCCGTATGAAAGTAATATATTTTTGCATTATGTGTGAATTTTTATTGTATGCAATTTTTAAAGCTTTGATCCACAACAGGTATGGCATTATTGCATATCAGGTCCCTATATGCAACAAAAACTCAAACCTAAAAATAAAGTATGCTATATCAAGAAGCCTTGTTTTCTGCCAATTTACAAAATTTGTAACATATATTGGTCAATTATTAGTTTGAATTTGGTACATACAATGCAAAAGGGGATCCATTAAATTACCAAGAAGGAACCTGTTTGATCAAAATTCCGTTAGATTGCTTATATCATGATGTGAAACCCCAATTCAAGTTTCTAAAAACATTCTTCCGGATCCAATTATATTGGATTTCTTTTATGTTAGGCAAGAAATCCTTGGATCATTCAAGTAAAGATTTGGTTAAATGTCTTGTGAGTCTATTTTTTTTAGTAGCGGTGCTTATTTTCAATCAGTATATATTTTTTTGTGATTTGATTTTACATTTTTAGCATAAGTGTTGTGATTCACGTCAAGATGCTTCAATTCCAATACTTAATTTAATTCTAGGCGTTTCAATTTTAATGTCTTACACTTCAGTTATAGTCTTTTGAAAGACTTAAATATATAACTCAATGTCCAGTCAGAAACTGGAAACACATATTTTGCTAAACTTAAAAATTTTTATAATCGAAAAAAAAATTAGTGGTAATGAAAGTTTAAACTCTATATCTTATTTTGTTATATCCTTTTTAAAAAAACTTGGAGGCTAACCAGATTATATAGCTTGGTGTATAAGAATGTTGTAATATGTAATTACTCAACCACAAATTTGAATACATATATAATATTCATATCTAACACTGATTATGCCACGTACGTACGTACTGTTTAAAATGGCAATGGAAATGAAAGTGAGTTCAGCTAAACATACATATAGAATCATCAGAGGCAAAGTATTAGAGAACGAAGTCATGAAACGCTCATTGTTGCGAGATCAAAGGACTTTATCGAAGATCACATATATAATTGCCATTTCTTGAGGTTGTTGGATACAGGTTTTAAGCGTTAACACTAGCACGTAGGATCCGGCGTTGCTCGGGTTCTAGTTTTTAATTTTTTGCTAATTCTTAGGCCTTGATAAATTAGCTTTTAGAACTAAGTATTGTCAAATTTTAAGTTTTAATTTTTGTTAATTTTTAGATTTAAACTTATCTTAGATTCAAATAAACCCATCTTAGGTTTAAATAAACTTAGCTTGGATTAAATAAACTTGGCTTGGGTTTAAATAAACCTGACTTGAGTTCAAATAAACAAACCTGTATTAGGTTTATTTAAACATAAATAGAATTAAATAAATCTAAATTAGATTTAAATAAACCCAAGTTGGGTTCAAATAAACCTAAATTAGATAAATAAGCCCAAGTTAAGTTAAATTAAAACTAAATTAGTTTATCTACAATATAATTTTATTTAATTTTTATTTAATATTTTTTTTAATTCTTTTTTTTTATATTTATATTTTTAATTTTTTAATATTTTTAAAATTAATTTTTTATTTTTTTTATTTTTTAAATTAATTTTTAATTTTTTTTATTAAAATTTCGTTTTTTTTAAATTAAAATTTTTTTAATACATTTCTTAAATTATTTTTTTATATCTTTAATTTAATTTAATTTAATCTATTAATTTAATTTAATCTATTAATTTAATTTAATCTATTAATTTAATTTAATTTATTTAATTTAATTTAATTTAATCTTTAATTTAGGATAAATCTAAACAGTTCACTTATGCAGTTTGTACCTCTATAGCAAAACTAATAAAAATTAGAATTGGGGTAGAGTATTAAGATTAGGTTAAGGTTAGGTTAGAGTTAGGGTTTAGAATTAGTGTAGGTTAAAATTGTGAGAAAAATATTTTTGGCTAGTTATACAACAGAGTTACCCTAGTAAAATTTTGTGATATTGGTGATTTTTAACAATTTTTATAATAAGGAGTACAAAATATATAGGCACTATCTAGTTATGTTCTTAATTTAATTTAATTAATTTATTTAATTAGTTAATTTAATCTATTTAATTTAATTTAATCTAATCTATTTAATTAAATTTATTATTTTTTTAAATCTTATTTAATTTAATTTAATTTAATTTAATCTATTTAATTTTAATATAGTTTTATTTATTATTTTTTTTAACTCTAATTTAATTTAATTTAATCTATTTAATTTAATTTAATTTATTATTTTTTTTTAAAATCTTATAATTTATTTTTCTTTATTTTAATTTAATTTTTTTTTTAAACTTTTATTCAATTTGATTTAATTTGATTTAATTTGATTTTTTAAATTGTATTTAATTTAATTTAATTAATTTAATTTATTATTTTTAATTATATTTAAATTATATTTTTATTTTAGTTTATTTTTTTAAAATTATATTTACTTTAATTTAATTTAATTGAATTTATTATTTTTTTTTAATTGTATTTAATTTATATTACTTTATTTTTAAAGTTAATTTAATTTTATTTGTTTTTTTTAAACCTATATTTAATTTAAGAAAATTTCTTAAATTACACTATGTGTACCGGTATATACACATAGGTTACACAATATATTTTGATAATGATCATCCATGCTTTTTTTTTTTACAACGTAAGGCTTTCTTTCATTAAGGTTTTTTTTATAACTAACTATAGTTATATTTTTAATAGTTAGAGATAGAACAGGCGGGTATTATCCTTTGTATTAGGGTAAAGACATGTTAGTTTCAGTTCAAGAATTTCTATTCCATAAACTGTAGATAGTATCATATGTCGTTCGTCTTTATTTATATTTGAGTACTGACCTAATCACTATATACTTCACTATTTTTAATAGAGTTAGAGCAAGCAGATAGTAATTATTCAGTTTGAGAATTTTTATTCATAAACTGTAGATAGTATCATGATTTCCATACGTCGTTCATCCTTATTTGCATTTGAGCACTAACCTAATTACTATATCCACTATTTTTAATAGTTAGAGTTAGAGCAAGCAGGTATTAATTATCCTTCATATTAGGGTAAAGACAGGTTAGTTTTAGTTTGAGAATTTTTATTTCATAAACTGTAAATAGTATTATGATTTCTACTCATTGTCTATCCTAATTTGTGTTTGAGAACTGTACTAATTACTATATGCTCTACTATTTTTTGCAGGTTTTTGACAATAAATAATGCTTTATGTTCGTCCTTTACCACTCTAATTCTATTGTAGCACCCTGTTCAAAATTTCCATCAGCACCATCCAATGCAAATTTTTAATCCCTTCAACTCTAATGTTCTAATAGCATCACCTATCATTGAGTGTCTTATTTTTGTTTATCTTTTTCAATTCCAATCCATTTCGATAATAATATCTAAGCTGGGGTGTTCTATCAGCATGACTATCTCTGCAAACTTTGGACCTTCAATAGTTTTATTAAGATAACAATATTCGATTATAACATTATATGTTACACTAACATCACCAGTCTTTGCAGATTTTTAACAATAAATGAATGCCTTATGTTCCACCTTTTCAACTACAATTCCATTGTGTAATAACATCCAACCCAGAATGTTCCATCATAATTATCCATCTCTGCTGATTTTGATCCAATTCCATTGTGATGGCAATATCCGTTTCAATAGCATTACCATCTCTGAATGCCTTATTTTGTTCATCCTTTTTAGCTCAAATTTATTTCGATAATAATACTCAACCTGGAGTGTTCCATTGGTGTGATCTACCTCTGCTAGGTAATAATATCTGACCAACATTATAAGTTCCACTGATATCACCAATTTTTGCAGATTTTGACATTAAATGAATGCCTTAAGTATGTCTTTTTTAACTCCAATTCCATTGTGATAACGGCATTTAATTGAAATGTTCCATCATCATTATTAATCTCTACTGATCTTTGATTCACATCAATTCTAGTTCCTTTGTAATAACAATATTCAGCCCAGACTGTTCCAATAGCGTTATCCATACTTGCCTACCTTATTTTGTCATACTTTTCAACTCCGTGTTCTATTAGAGAGCTCTAATTTTCCCACCAGTTGTGATTGGTCGCATGAAATACCACCTTCAATTAGATCACGCCAACGCAGCCGCAAAATCAAAAACATCATTAGTTTTTCTTCAAAAAAAAAAATTCAAATAATTATAAAAAAATTCAAATAA